CTGCTATGTCTTTCCAACCTGCATTCAAAGCTAACTCTGGAATTATAATAACAGACCTCCCTTCTCCCTTCAGTGACAGAATGCTCATGTATCTTCCATGAACGTTGAATTTCCTGGTACAGAAATGTTCTGTCATATGTTCCTTGTACTTCCATCGCTTCACTAAATTCATTTGATCTGTCGACGCTTCTTTAAGTACAAAACAAATCCATTCCATTACCTTTCTGCCCATGGATGAATGTCTCATCATGCTGCGGCTTCTCTCCACCCATTCGAACCATACCTCTTTGTTGGAATTCCATCTGGTGATGTCAAAAGATTTGAATCCTGCGTTGAAATAAATCCGGTTGTCTCCCATATTGTACAACCCAGCTGTTCAGGTTATGGAGATTATAAGGAGTATTTGATGGTCATCACAGTTGAGCTGTTGAGGTAAAAGAAACTGAAATTTGGGCTAAAACAAAGGTTTCCCGCTCCCGGAAAAATAAAAGTCGTCGGAAATCTGAAAAAATTGTACCGATCTGGTCGGAATTAGCAGTACAGGAAGCTGTCCAAATTTTTTTTTTTGAAAAGCTGCCGGAAATTGGCTCACGCGCCCGGCGCGTGGTGACTGGGTCGCCAGAAAGTGTCGCGCGTGGCGGCGCGTGGAGGCTGCTTCGTCGGAAAAATTTCAGTGGAGTGGTCGGAATTTCGAGGGCTGTCTAATGGTGTTCATGGAAAGCTAAAAATTCTTGTACTCAGGCTCCTCGGGGAGTGTGCCTGAGAGCTTGAGAGTTATGACTTTTTTCGTCTTTTTGGACTTTTTAGCTGTTGTCCCAGATGACAAAGTTATTATTAGAAATCTTGATACTTAGTATTCTTGTCCTTGTGACAGTTTTGATTGGGCTTTGTTCTCAATCCTTAAGAAATCCTCATAACCCTTCATTTTAATCAGCCTTGAACATTTAACTTCTTTCATGTAGCACCTCCTTCAGCAAAATTTAAGGTGTGAATTCTTTACATTAAACTATCTGTCCTCACTTAGTCCACTTTCCGGTTGTTAGAAAGGCACTATAAAATGGAATTTGAGGGATGGGGATGAAGAAGGATTTAATATTCCAGATGCCATGTTTCAGCTTCAGTTGAGTAATTTGATTCACCGAGGAACACAATAAAGTGATGACATATCTTGAGTTTGTTGAACGTCTTAGGATGTAAAAAAGTTGGAGAAACCTGACAAAATGGGAGATTCAAACCTGCATGTTACTTTTTCTCTGCCTAACTAATTCAATTTAAGTACAGAAATGCTTTCCAAATGAGCTATTGTCAGAATATCATTTAATAAGCTAACGAGACTTGGCGAAATACTGGAAAGCACTCTTATATCTCAAATTTGTTTCCTCAATTTCTGATACATATTGCAACCTAGCATTTTCCTGATATTATTGCTAAGTGTTGGGGTTGACAAGTAGAAGTTAGTTTATTCAGCTGTTCCCAGGACTTTTTTTTGGTTCCTAGAACTTAAAACACATAAAAGTGATGGTCCTCGGTTAGTATTTTGCACAATTTTATCAAAATTATTTGCATAATTCTTTGTTAAGAACCAACTTTTACAAAATATCACCTAGATTCGAAGTCATAGTTTGTTTACAATCTACACCTAAAAAAATCTGCTACTCCTTTGCGCGCACAAAGATGTTCACTAAACTATTTTGTTGCAAAGTTTTCACTGTATTCTGCAGGAGAAACATATAACTGTTTATAGTTCCTTATTTGTTCTAAAAGTAAGAATCTGCTTTTGCATCAGTTTTCCTTTTACTTTGAGGATGATATGTTCACATTATTTTTGTGCTAGGAAACTGAAGAAGAAGTTACTGACACAGAACAAGCTGAAAACTGGTTTTCCCTAACTTCTGCACAGCGCATATGTGGTCAGTGCTCTGAATTTCTTAATTTTGAAGCAGATCCATGTCATGTTTTGTTTACTGCTTTCCTTCTACCCAGCTTCCATTGGAGCTGTCTTTCTATTACATCGGGGATCTGGGAATGGGAGAGGGGAGACATTTAGAATCGAATCCACACCTATTATGTGTGACACTCTTATCAGTACTACTAAACGTAGACGGTAACTGTTGGTTGCAGTATGTTTTATGTTATAATTCCAAAGGTTCCTGCCGCCCGGATCATATTGTCTGCTAGTTTAACCAGCTCTGATACAGTATTCCCCTTTGAATGAGTACAGTTCCACATAGTACGTGCTGTAAGTACAGAACCTCTCTTAATTTCTTTTAAGCTGATAGGAAACAAAGGTTGTCAGTTTAGTGCTTCCAATTTTCTCAATACTTGGTCATGCTACAAGATTGTTTATAGCTTTTATACATGGGCTGGTGGAGAATCAAGTGTAAACGGCATTTAATAGATAAAAAAGGTAGTTATATGTCCAAATACTTGCTACTGTGGTTGTTGTGGGAATCACAGCATGGTATATCCCAATCCCCAGAATAGTTACGCTCACACATCTTTCCTAATATTCCCCACTTTCTCCTTATTCTTCTCCTCCCCCTCCTTTTTTTTCTTATTCTCCTCCTCTTCCTCTCTCTCTCTCTCTCTCTCTCTCTCTCTCTCTCTCTCTCTCTCTCTCTCTGCGTGTGTGTTTTTCTCTTTTGTTTAATTTTATTTTTCTGGGTATTCGTTCTCTTCTGCCTTCCTTAAGATATATGCTTATATGAATTATGCAGACATGTTTCTTGCTCTTGATAAAGATATGAACGGAACATTGAGCAAGCAGGAGCTAAGGGAATATGCTGATGGTACACTAACGGATATCTTCATTGAAAGAGGTAAAACTGAGAGTCTGCTTATGTACCATTGATGTATCTTTCTTGAGGATCTATGGGATGTTTCAGTTGTGTGGTCTGCTGCAGCTGTGGTCTCTTTTCCTAACTATTTCTTTCATTTTCTGCAATTATTGCTGGAAATCCTATAGGAGTCACTCCCGTAGTTCACATTGAAACCTTGCTGTCTGAGATAGACACTTTGCATGTTCACCTACCTGTCACTAGACCTAGGAATCTGATGCCTCGAGATTTCTCTCCAGTCTAAACTAGGTAGGGATTCAGCCATGTTTCTTCTTTTTGATACTGGGGGTCACCATGGGACATAGGCTCCAAGATGGGAGCTGTCTTACCAAGGGAGTTCCTTGCCAATTGCCACTGTCATGGTAATCCAATCTGGCACCATCTTCAAAGGGCAGTGGGCATAGGCTCCAGGATGTGTGAGCTGTCTCACCTAGGGAGATCCCTGCCAGTTTCTGCTGTCATGGTACTCCAATCTGGCACCACTATCAAGGGTCTTCTCACTGGATGTTGAGTCTATTTCTCCAATTTATTATCAATATTGCAAGACAGGATTAGCACTGGTCAAGCAGTTGATTATGTTCTCATATATCCTATAGGCACTACCAATAGTCTTATCTTGCTGCCATCTTTGAAGTCCTACTATTGCCTCATTGCTAGAATCAGTTCTTGCACCACCTGTTGAGTTGTTACCTGCAATCTGGGAACACCTCAAATTTTTAGGCACCATAAAGAATTTGGACACATTGCATCTTAATAATAAATAAGATTAATATGTAATCTAAACACTACGAACATTACCTCTATCATCAGTATAGTTGCCCACTTGATTGCTGCAATCTTTCCCTCCATAGGTCATGTTTACAGTATCTACAGCCCAGGCTCCAGAGAACAGAGCGACACCACTCTTTATCTTCTGGATATTAAAGGATTTTGGCCCTTTTTGGTATGGATTATCCTGAAGTTTTCCATTTGCATGACCTAAAGTTATCCTGCCTTCTCCTAAAGGAAATAACGCAAACATTTCAAACGAACTTCAGCCACATCATGTTACTTTTCCACCTTGTCTTGCTGATTGTAACCTGATGCAGCGGACTACCAGAGAAAGCTCTTTCCCCCTTTCATCTAAACTCTCTTGTTATCTCATACCAATGTGCATTTCTCATTTTTACAGTCAGAAGTCATCTGGGTGCTTTTATTTTTAAACCTCCTATAGCTTTTATATAATCCTAGGATTGAATTCGTATTTGTTGTGAACTTTTTTTGGTTTGTTTAATTACTAGTTTTTGACGAGCACGTTCGGCGTGGAAAAATTGGAGGCGGCAATGCCCGTGAAATGGATTTTGAAAGCTTTCTTGACTTCGTACTAGCCCTGGAAAACAAGGATGCTCCAGAGGGTTTAACATATTTGTTCAGGTGTCTTGATCTCAATGGAAGGGGTTTCCTAACTACAGCTGATATTCACACGCTATTCAGGTAAAAGGAACATGTAGTTGTATTTTTGCTATGAGGAAATTTTCTCCACCTGTCTAGTCAGTAGTACATAGTTATTTCGTATTTGTTATTCCAAATTGAGAAAAGGAAAAACGAAATATGGAAGAGAAAGAAGGGATCACAGTTGAGTTTGAGATGTATCCTGATTCAATCTTCCTAAAAAGAGTTTCTGGGATTTCCTACTTGTGGTTCCTGAGATAGTGCTGCAAGTCTCAAATAACCAGATACATAAGCTCATTGAAGTATCAGCCACTCAATAGACTGAAGTGTTTATTTGATTCTATACGCTACCACTACTATTTACCACTCCCCTGTACACCAAAAAGGATGTGGGTAAGAGGACAAGAACCCATGAAAGTTTAGACGGTCTTGGGTTGACCTTGACCATCTAGGTGTTGAATCTCAACCTAGTTATGGAACTTCTTCCAGTGTCCAGATTAAGGCCTATTTGTATGATGTAAAATGTTTTTCCTTAATGAAATTCCTTGTATTTGGTTGTCTAGAACTGAAAATTATGTTTCTGTAAATGGAAACATTCCCCACCACCACTCTCCATTATATTATATTGCACCAACTTTATGTCCGACGAAACACCAAAAATCATTTTACATCATCCAAATAGGGCCAAGTATTTTATGTCTTACAATCAGATTTCTTCTTGTATCACTGAGCATTCCACTATAGTGGTCCATTTCTGATATGGAATGTTATTTGTATTAAAAAAACAGAGATGTCCATCAAAAATGGATTGAAGGAGGGAACTATGAACTCTGCATCGAGGATGTAAGGGATGAAATATGGGATATGGTGAAGCCGACTGATGCTTTGAGGATAACACTGGCTGATTTATTGTCATGCAAACAAGGTGGTACCGTTGCAAGCATGCTAATAGACGTGCGTGGTTTCTGGGCCCATGACAACAGGGAAAATCTTCTCCAGGAAGAGGAAGAACCCCAAGAAGAAGGATGAGAAGGATTCAAAGAGCAAATCATCTGTAATTGCACTAACATAAGATCCTAGTTTGCAGAATAGATTATCCTATGTAGAGAATTTGGTTTTACTTTAGTTGTGTGAATGAGAAGTGGCTAACCATGCTGTGATTAGGTAGACTCTCTTGGATGCTGAAAAAACCTCCAAGAGTTGTATGTTTGAAATCTTGTGTAGCAAACAGATTCTTGAAACCTGAGATGAATACAGAATCAAAGGTGCATATTGCTTGGTTCCGTAGGCATACCGCACAAAAATTGAGCATTTATATTAGTATAAGTTTTTTAATGAAAAGCTATGTCAGGAAACCTGTTCTCTTGTATCACCTCTGCCTTTTGGTTCACAACTTTGTCCGCATATATGTGGCGAAGTATATTCTGCTTTTGATGAAGTTGTTGATTTTTATCAATGTGAAACTGATTTGATGCGAGAAACCAAAGTCTAGAATTTTGATAACTATGATTAATCTCTCTGAATCTGGTTGAAGTCAAAAACCAAAGCACAACCAAAAATGTGTGAGAGATGATGTTATGCTAGTTGCTTGCTTAAGGAAGCAATGGGAAGAAGACTTATAGTCTGTTTGGCCAAGCTTCTCCAAGGTAAAAGGTGCTTTTTTTTTTCCAAAGTTGAAGAACTGTTTGGTCAAGGTTTCAGAAGAAAAAAGTGTTTTTGAGTAGAAGCAGAAACAGAAAAAAATAGCTTCTTCCTAGAAGTAATTTTTTGAGAAGCATTTTTTGAGAAAACTACACTTACAAGCACTTTTTAAAAGCTTGGCCAAAAACTAATTGTTGTTTAGGAGTGCTTTTCAAATTAATTAGCCAAACACAAACTCTTTCTCACCAAAAGTACTTTTGAAAAAAAACACTTCTCAAAATAAGTTGATTTTTCCGGCTTGACCAAACAAGCTATTACTAACAAAACAGAGAAAGAGAAGGAAAAAGAATTTTACTGAGTACTTTGTTGAGTTTGATTCTAGTTCTTGTCTCATTTAATAATTTTCTTCCTGTTTTTTGCCAATTTTCGTTCTTACCTCATTCTCCAATTAAAATTTTAGAGTGTCTTTTCATATCTCCTGCATCGAGTAGTTTTCTTTCTAAGAAATTTATTTCCTTGGTCTTCACCATCATTGTTATTAGCTTCTCCTTCGTCAAATAATATGTGTGTATATATATATTGGCAATACATATGAGCCACAATGAGATAGTCTTCCCAAATGAAACTCGCGGAAAGACATGAACAATGAACATAGTGGCTTTTCAAATAATTTCTTCTAACCAAAACACCATAGCATAACAAAACAAAATATATTCCTATTTAGGATTGAAGTGTAGATCGTTGATGTTAAAACACCAAGATAAATATTTCTTTGACAGTAAAAGTAATAAATGGGACTAATTACATTCGACTGAATATACATTATGGTTTTTTATAAAAGTACCTTCAGCTTTTAAAACAACTCATATGTATAACCACAGATTCAGAGATACACATATCCCTACTAGCTGCAAAACACACTGACAGCAAATTGATAGCAACGCCCTCTTTTGAGATTTTTAATTTTCCAACATTACTCTCCTCTTTATGGCTACTTTCTTGACCAGAGACTTCTAACTTTTCTCCTCTTTATGGCAAGTTTTGGGGCCAATTGGTTTTGTACCCCTCTCCAAATATGTTTTTAGTTTTATATCTCTTTTCTCCCGGAGTTATTTATTTTACATAAAAGAGATTGGAAATCACACACAAAAACCATTTTCTTTTATTCAAATTGTAAAAAGCTATGTCCAACCATTTACTAACTATTTTCAGCAGGTTCAATTGAATGCATAATTATATACATCAAATTTAAATTATGAATCTGTATCTAACTAGAGTGTGTATACATCTCAGAGATAGATATAGCTATAGTTGATTAAACATTTTGTACATATGCATAGAAATGTTTATGTATATGGGCCCTTCGAAACCCACTAACCTAATTAAATCCTGAATCCTACAACTTCGATTCCTGTAAATTTATTGTTTACATATTTAAAAAAGATTGTGAATTGAAATAAGCTTGGTTTGATACAAATTCAAGATTTAAATTAATTGCATCACACCTACACCCATTTATACTTTTTGTCAATTGGGTGCAAAACTTAATGTAAATGTACAAGTTTTAAATTATTCAACCATATATAAAAAGTTCAAATTAATGAAACTTGGGAATGATTGCACATGCTGTCGACATAGCTAGTATATAAAATACGGGTTCGGCTGAACCCTATAACTTTTAGTTCGGACCTTATATATATGTTAAAAGATATACGTACTAAATATGTAAAAATATTAAATTTCAAATTCAGTAACTCAAATAGATTATAGATTTAGTGATTCAAATACATAAACTTAAAATTCTATACTTACATCCCACCCGTGGGCTTGATATTTGTTGGGAGGATTTCAACAAGCAAGACCATGTCTACTGTCTACCAATCCCTTTGTGTGTGTTGTACAATGTAGCTCCCTCCTCTTCCTCCCAAAGTAAAAGACAAAAACTCATAAGAATATAACAAAACTTATAAATGAGACAGAGCAAGACAAAAATGGACAGAGCTCAAGAATCTTCCATACAAGTACCTCTACACCCTTCTGATCTCCAGCCTTTGGGGGTAAAAAAAGGTAAATGCCATCAGCTTAACAAGAGGTACATATAGAGGCAACTTACACTGATAGTGTAAACATGACTTGGTATTCACTAAACATGACTTGGTATTAGCAAATTATACTGATAGTGTAAATATTTTGTAACGTCGCACAAAATTTAAATTCAATGTGCATTATGTTCCCTGGAATAATTTTCTTGAGCCAAGGGTCTATCGAAAACAACCTCTCTACCTTCCAAGGGGTCGTTTGGTTGGGAAACAAGTGATCCCATGATTAATTATCCCGGGATTAGTTATTCCGTCCTCCCACGGGGATAAAAAAAATACTACAATCCCGGGATAATTAGTTATCCCACAATTTTATTCCAAACAAATGTGGGATAACCTTATCTCAAATTTAATCCCGAAATTAATTATCCCTTATCCCTCTTACCAAACGAGCTCTAAGAATAGGAGTAAGGCTTGCGTAGGCACTATCCTTCCCAGACCCCACTTGTAACACTCTACTATAAGTTGTTGTTGTTGTATGTTTCCCTCGAACACTAAATTTATTCCAGCAGCAATTTCAATTTGTGTGTATGGATTTGGGCGTGGGGAATGTCTTATTTGCTCAGCTGTCATGATCTGTAATGATGTGATGTCTCATTCTACCAACAAAAATAATAAACAGACACTCTCTTCTTTCCAGGTCATACAAAGAAAAAGAAGGCAAAAAGGCTGATAGTGTGGATACAAGGAAAAGACTTGGATTGATTTTTTCACCTTTTCTTTTGATTCCCTTTCAATTATTTTGTCTGTCCAGTACAAGTAAGTAGTTTTTTCTTACTGTTCCTAACCTAGTAAAGACAAACTTTTTTACTATCAGTTACAGCTACCTCAGATTGGATGAAACCTTTTCTTGCTTATTTTCCTATTTTGAAAAGTTCCAAGACTTTACTAAAAGCACATTTTTATTGGTAATTTCATGTCAAATTTGAGGTTTGTAACTAACACCCTCATCAAGATTTTATCTTTAGGGAAGCTCGGTGCACTAAGCTCCCCGGAACCACAATGGTCTATTGTACGTAGTCTTACCTTGCATTCTGAAACTCATATTTTATCTTTAGGGCAACTTGATGCACAAAGTATCCCGTATTTATGCAGGATCTGCTGAAGGGCCATACTCCTAGGAGTGTGATGTAGACAGAGACACACCCGTAGTGGTTGGCTTGCTTCCACGACTCGAACCCCTAATCTATAGGTCACACAGATACAACTTTACCGCATTCAAATTTTTATCTAATTATAAGATATTCTTGCTGTGTGAGAAATCTTAGACACCTTTATGCCAATTATCTTTCTACACAAGGGAATCAAAAAGTACTTGTACAACTGACAAGGTATGTAATTTTAACTGAATTGGTGTAAAGAGAGGACAGAATCTGAGGAAAGCTATAAATAATAAGTCCTCTTTTTCTTATATTTACTTAGCAGCAGGCCAAGGAAAAAAGTGAAGAAAAAAACAAGAGATTCTTTGTTGGTTATAAAAAGAAGGGGTTCTTCAACTGTGGTGAGAGCTTCTTTTCTTGAATGACATATTGGCATGTGTAAATGCATGGACAAGAAAGTGGGGTACTCTGAGAAATTAGCCAATGAGTTGTCTGAATATAAAGGAAATTGGCAAGCATTGCTTCCTTACCATAGTTTCTGTTTCCCAAATGGATTCTTGAAATCAACTAATTAACATTTCTCAAAGATTTTGTCATGTCCTTCCTCAGCAATTATTTTTCTAGTACATAATTTCCAATCAAGAGGACCACCACTTTCATCTGATTTTTCATAATGGAGTTCAAGTTGGTACCTTTATATTCATCTTTATGAAAAAAAATTCAGCTTTTTCAGCAGTAATTTTGACTTGAAAATTTCTTCATTGATCCATATCAACACAAGTGTCAATTAATGTTCAAATAAGTTGGATGATTTTCTTGGATGGCAAGTTCATTTACAGCTATAGGAGGAGGAATTGGAGGGGCAGTTGTCCTCTTGGGAGTAATTTTCTTTTTATGCTTTTGCGCGTTTCGCAACTGGAAGAATTCAAATAAGAATTCAGACGGTGCTTCTTCAGATCCATCTGCAGTAGGTAATGTAGAAAAAAATCATCATTAGTTTACTATAGCAATGGAGATGAACTAATTTGCCCTGCTAACTCTACTTTCTGCTAAATGTACTGACTAAAATAGTTACAATGGAGCTGAAGAGGGGAGGCCCAAGCCCATCTTTTAAGCAGTTCAGAATGGAAGAGTTGGAGAAAGCCACAAGGAATTTTGATGAGAGCAATCTCATTGGTTGTGGGAGTTTTGGTCTAGTTTTCAAAGGATTGCTTTGTGATGGAACTGTTGTCGCTATAAAAAGGCGCTCGGGTACTCCTAAACAGGAGTTTAATGAAGAGGTATGTCTAGCTATTAAAGGAGCTGACTGTTTAATAGAACAGATAGAAAAGGGGGAGATAACACAATTTTGAACTTCATATTTCCTGTTTTTAACAAAAAGAGAAAGAAGTAGAGATTAGAACTTCAAGAAACATGCTTAATATCAAGTCAATACAAAAGTTGAAGCAATCTTGAAACCATCTATATAATTCAATTATATATCCAAGTATTGATCACTAAACTTTGCATTTCCAATAATAGGTGGCTCATTTATCACGAATTCAACACCGCAACCTGGTTAATCTTTTAGGCTACTGCCTCGACAGTGGGTACTCAATGCTGGTTTTTGAGTATTTGCCAAATGGAAGCATGTGTAATCACTTGTATGGTATGGGTTTATTGAGTAAAGAGCCTTTGACTATATTACTCATTACATGTTAAAGTTGATTGGTTCTCTTATCAGATACAGGAAAGGACTCTGCAACAAAGTTAGAATTCAAGCAAAGGTTATCTATTGCTATTGGAACAGCCAAAGGTATATCATTAAACTCGTTCGAGATAAATGTTCTGATTAAATCAAGAATGAGAAACAGAAACAAAGATGACTCTAAATTTGTTATTAACTGCAACAGGTTTAAGTCATTTACATGGCCAACGCCCTTCAATAATCCACGGGAACTTTAAAACAGCTAATGTTTTGGTTGATGAGGACTTCATTGCTAAAGTTGCAGACGCGGGGATTCTGAAGTTACTCGAGAAAATTGATGATGCAGGTCCTTCTGGACTGAGTTCTGTGAATGCTTTTAGAGATCCAGAGTAAATAGCAAGTTACCTTTTTGAAGTTCCAGAGTTTTTTAAGCACTTCTTTTGATTCGTTTCTGTTCCGTGTTTAGGATAAATCAAATTGGAATACTGTGTGAGACAAGTGATGTTTACAGCTTTGGAGTATTCCTATTAGAGCTCATAACTGGAAAGGAGGCTTCAGATATAGATGAATTTGGATCAAACCAAAGTATACTAGAATGGGTAAGTTAAAGAAGCAATTTTTCAACCTGTTAACAGAATGTACCATTGATCTTGCTTATACTGAATATTTATGTGAACTCGGCAAAAGGTTGAAAAACAGCTGAGTTCAGACCAATTAGTGGATAATAGGCTGTTGGGAAGCTTCACAGCGGAGGTAATGAGGGATTTGATCAAGCTAGCGTTGAGATGCATGAGTTTTCCAGGGCGATATAGGCCAACGATTGAAACAGTCGTGTTGGATCTTGAAAGGATTCTTGAGAAGGAGCAGATGCACACAACTGTTATGGGAGAAGGTACTTCAATAGTTACACTTGGGAGTCAATTGTTTACAAACTGAAGCAATGAGACATCTATTTAACTTGAAAGATTTTGGCCTGCAAGAAACAACAAGTAAATTTGAATGGCTTTGTCCCTCTCCTCTCCGAATTCACAGTCCTTCCGCCCAGCTAACTGTTTCACAATCGTCAATTCTCCCAAACTTCATATTTCTCCTAAAATATGAAATTTACTTCCTTTAAATAATGAGTATATTCTTGAGCAACTTTAGTCCTTTAAATTTATGAAAAAGCGATCACTTTTAATTGCTGTCAAATATTTAAAATTTAACTTCCTTTTGTTTGAAAATAATCACATACTTATTATACTTTCTTTGAGTCATAAAATAGAAGGCGAGGATGATGAATATTGATTATATACCACTAACTCAATTAAAGAAGAAACTGTAAAACACAACTCCTCAATCATTAGTTATTATCCAACTGTGGTTGTGTAAAAATATTTATGAAAATTATTGTTATTTATGCTACCTACTAACGACAAATAAGTAACAAAAAAGTTGCTTTTATCATGATTTTTAAAATTTATGAAGTAACATAAATCGAAAATGACTCTATTAGTCTTCTAGAAATTTTGAAATAACATGATTGGCTTACGATTCCGGAAGAAAATGGTAAGTGACAACATAAAGCCTAAAAAGACTAATATTGAGGTAATATTTTTCAATAGAAATAACTTAATTTATATAAAATATAATGAGTTGTAGTTCGTTAGAATATATTTTGTCTTCAACTATTCTGTCCTTATTGCTTTAAATTTTCTCTTAGCCGATTTAAAATTACTATACTATAAATGATTTTACTTTATTTTATATCCTAGGAGTTTTGTCTACTTAAAAATAATAGTTTAAAAAAGAATTGAATTGGATCTATTGCTATAGTTAATTTTAAAACGTAATCATATTTTCTTAATTCTAAAGGAAATAATGTTTTTTTTTTTTGCAAATTCTTAGTATTGGTTCATTCCGAAAAATATGCAATAAAAATTCTATTCTTAAAGAGTAAAAATTTGTCTGACATTTCACTTTGGATCTTTGTATTTGAAGAATCATTAGTGTTATTGACTATTGCTAATCACCTCTATCTCTTATAAAGTTTTGCTAGTTTTTGGTTCTAATTGTTTAGTATCATTTTTTAATATTATAAAAATGACAAATAACTAATATTATTTGAGTAGGAAAGTAATTCAATTATAATAGCATAGAAATCAGAAATTACCATTAAAAAATTCATCATTAATTAATATTGTGACGTTTAACTATTTATCTTTTAATTCATCATTAATTAATACCATGACTTGAAATAGTAATTGATTTATGATATATAGAAAATAACACATTCACAATTATGTAAGGTAAACTCTTAATTATTTAGATTTCGAATAATGTTAAAAAGATTCTAAGAGCCCTTAGTACTTTAAAAAGATTTGTTTTATTCAATTTGTAAGTTATACTTTTTTTTTTAATCCCAAATTGCTAAAATTAATGAACGGATGATTGATTGACTCTAAAAAATAAAAATATAGCATGGCATCACCAATTCATAGAGGCAGCACAAAACTTGTTTGAATGCCTCTTTTGGCCCAATAACTGATGAAAGACCAAATAGCAATAGGTACTGCCTACTTACGAAACGTAGCAGTGCCTGCATCAACAAATAAGTACTATTTTTGTCTCCAATTATTTGTACAAACAAATCAATTAAGCTAAAAAACTAATTATGACAACTTTTTTTTATCCGTCAATTTCTTTTTAATAGTTAGAACTTTTATATGGTTATTAACTCTTTATTTATTTATTTGAGGTATATTAGGACTTTAAATTTCAATAAGCTTACATAAATTATTTTCTTATTTAAGCTATGTAACATAGCTATAATATTTTGCATGCTAATTTTTCTAATATTTATGTTATAATTTTAAGAGAATATAATGAATTGACAATTCATGAACTACGAGATACAATGATACTCCTACTAATAATTATGAAGGTGTCCTTGATTAACCCAAATAAAATTTTAAAAAAAGAAGAAATTATAATTTTAAGATACTTTCATAGTTGTAGTCAAATTACAAAAAAGAATTTTAGGTTTGAGCAAATTTCATGTGCTCTAGGAAAGGAAACTTATTAATTGATTTTAAATGCTCGACATCAACAGAGAAAGTCCTCGACATCAAACCTATTGTGGCTATGCTGTGTATCTGATGTAGCAAGCGAAAACAGATAAAAAAACGAAGCCATCAGAGGTTCAATCTCGCGCCCTGCAGGCGGAAACAATGTGCCTCTGCCATTGGCACCTTCTACCATTTGCTATTCCGGGTGGCAACTATTATTCCGGGTGGCAACTCTTTTATTTATCATCGGACCTTTTTCCTTTTTCGTCTTGCTGCAATTTTTACGATATAATAGTCAAAGCTTTTAAAAATAATTTAATTTTAAGAATTAACAATATAAATAAGGAGCCAAAGGTTTATCGGACATATACACTACCATCTCCATACTATACTTGTAAAATTTTACTGGATTGTTGTTGTAATTAACAATATAAATAAGAGTTATAATCACATAATCAGAAAACAATTTATTGTTGTCTACTAAAAGTCTAAACTTTAAGGAAACAAGAATATAACCACACTCTTATCATACTTCAAATACAAATATCAAAAATGAAAGGAAAAAACTTAGTTCCTCCATTCAAATTTATGTGTTATTGTAATTTAATTGAGCACAAAGTTCAAGGACGTAAAAGAATATTTGAATTTTATACTCTTAAATTAAATATATGTATAACATATCAAAATATCTTTTTAAATTAAATGGCTTAAATTATTCATACAAGGGAGTGTCTTATTGGAATAAAAGTTTACTAAATATAGAAGCCACATTCTTTTACAAACTAAAAAAGAAAGTAAAACACTTAAATTGAACAGAATAAAATGCTAAAAAACAGTTAACACATATATCATATTAAAAACAAAGTTGTAGAAAACTTTTAATAACCTTTTCAGCAATTATCTGAAGAAAAATATAATATCAATTTCTTAAAAACACCCGCCCAAACGGATAATTTTTTTTTTTGAGCTCTTCGCCGTAGCCATCCATGGCTTTCTCTTTGTTCACTACAACTGCATCAACTTTCTCTCCTCACTGCCAAGCACGACCCAATACCAATCTCAGTCGCAATAGAACCAATCCAAAGCGCGTGTCTACAAACACAACCAGAAGAAGGCAAAATCCCAACCGCCGTCAGCTCAAATCCGGCGAGTTTAGGCCGCCTCCGCCAATTACCATCGCCGGCGGTGNGCCGCCGGTAATACTGCCACCACCTACACTCGCCTACCCCCCAAAGATGATTTTGTTCTTCCACCCCTTCACAGTTCAGCTGAAATTACGCTATCTGAATCAACTATCTCCTCCACCCCAGCTAAGAATCTTCACCAAAAAATAAAGGATTCGGTTGATGATGTTGAAAATTCGGAGAATTTAAAGTTTGATTATGGGAAATTCGAGCTGTACGAGGTTAATGATGATGATTTTGAGGATGATTCTGATGAAGATGATGATGTGGGTGGTGAAATGGAAGGTTCTAGAAGTGGGGTGTTTGAGGGTAGTGGGAAATTCGAGTTGTACGAGGTTAATGATGATTTTGAGGACGATTTTGATGAAAATGATGATGTGTATAGTGAAATGGTAGGTTTTGAGGGTGGTGATGTTTTTGAAGGGGAGGGGAGCGATATAAAGGAGAAAGAGAAAGGGGTTCCTGCAGTGATGAGGTGTTTCGATAGGGCGAAAATATTTGTAAAAGCAGGGGATGGAGGGAATGGGGTGGTGGCATTTAGGAGGGAGAAGTTTGTGCCTTTGGGTGGACCATCTGGTGGTGATGGAGGGAGGGGTGGGAATGTGTATGTGGAGGTAGACGGATCGATGAATTCGTTGTTGCCATTTAGGAAAAGTGTGCATCTTAAAGCTGGGAGAGGAGGGCATGGTCATGGAAAGAAACAATTCGGTGCAAAAGGTGAGGATGTGGTGGTGAAGGTGCCGCCTGGTACGGTTCTTAGGGAGGCTGGGGAGGTTGGAATTCAAGGGGATGTACTTTTCGAATTGTTGCATCCGGGACAGAGGGCGTTGCTGCTGCCCGGTGGAAGAGGTGGGAGAGGGAATGCCTCTTTTAAGACAGGGTCGAATAGGGTGCCCAAGATCGCAGAGAATGGTGAAGAAGGTGCAGAGATGTGAGTATCTTTAATGATAATCGTTTCTGTTCGTTAGACTTTGATTTTTTATTGCATCTTAAGGGTACATTCAGCATCTAACTGTAAAGCATATTAGAATGTAGTTTTCGTTTGGTGGATCTATTGGGCTCTCATCCTTAATTTTGAATGCTTTAATTTTGAAGGCCAAATAAGCTTGAGTAGAAATATATCTTGGTCACATTTCTTTCATATTTCATTTTGTATCTTGCAAGTAACAGTCCTATTGAGCAGGTGGTTAGAATTGGAGCTTAAGTTGGTCGCTGATGTTGGTATAGTAGGAGCTCCAAATGCAGGGAAGAGTACATTTCTCAGTGTTATAAGTGCTGCTCAGCCAGCTATTGCGAATTACCCCTTCACCACTTTGCTCCCAAATTTGGGTGTAGTTTCATTTGATTATGATGCTACTGTGGTCGTTGCTGATCTGCCTGGTCTACTTGAAGGGGCACACCGAGGTTTTGGTTTAGGCCATGAGTTTCTTCGGCACTCAGAAAGATGTTCAGTCCTGGTACAAGCTTTTCTAAAGTGTTCTTTCTTTGCATTAGTTAGTTGAATGCGTTCCAATTCTGCATAAATGGAACTATTAGTGATTTGTTGAATCAGATTGAGATGGCATATTACCATATTACTATACAGTTTGCATTTTGTAATTTGAATGCTTGCTATGTTATAGCTAATTCATTGATGAAACTTCACTTCTAGAGCTATTAATCTAGAAATATTTATTTGAAAAGGTTAAACATAATGCAAACTGTAACGGGCAGCTCGGTGCACGAAGCATCCCGCGTTCACGCAGGGTCTGGGGAAGGGCCGCACCTCAAAATACAGATTGCAAACTATATTTTGATTTATTTTGTTCTTTTCTTGTTTCGAGTTTGTATTAGTTTGGTGGTTTTTATAAAAAGAAAAAGAGTAGTGGTTCACATTTAGCTATCCCCTTCCTTTCTAAGGTCCCAACATGGAATCACTGCACAATGTCCTTGGTCCCGTTGACATGAGCGATGGACAAAAATGGATAGGTGTTTTTTGGGTAAAAGATGTCCTCCACAACCCCCCCTCCCCTCACCCCACAAAAAATATTTTTTTGTTGGTCATTTCATCTTTTAGTAGTTTCTGTGTACTCTGTGCATCCATATATTTCATCGTTTACTTAAAAGTTCCGATTATTTTGCACTGGTGTATGGCATTTCTTTACCTTTTTACTGATCATTCTGAGATTGAGCTAATATTTTTGACTAATTGATGGAATTTTTATTTGGAGAAAGGTGCATGTGGTTGATGGTTCATCTCCCCAACCGGAATATGAATATGAAGCTGTTCGTCTTGAATTGGAAATGTTTAGTCCTGAACTTGCTGAAAAACCTTTTTTAGTGGTTTACAACAAAATGGACCTTCCAGACGCATATGAGAATTGGAAGACATTCAGAGACAGTCTGAAATCTCGTGGAATTGAACCCTTTTGCATGAGTGCAGTGAAAAGAGAGGGTACACATGAAGTTATTTGTGCTGCTTATGAGCTTGTTCGAAGAAAAAGAGAAGCTGCTAAAGAAGAAGGTAAGCGTTTCTTAATTGTCATTTGCTTCTATGTTACCAGTGGCCATGATTATGCTAAAATGCCTTTTATGTTCAATTAATTTGTTTTGACAAGTGCAATTAAGTTGAACAAATGTCTGTTCTAGCTAAATAAATATTTCTATCAAAAATTTTGTCCTACGTTCGTTGTTGGGTTGTCCTAAAATGTTGTCATTTCATAATTAGCACATTTTAAATACACAGAAGTTTCAAGGGCCTCTACTTTTACCTTAATCCTCTATTCTACCTTTCTACAATGCAAAAGTAAAAAATGGCGCTCATGTTTCTCAAGAAATAATAAACAATTCATGTATTCACTATTCTCTTACTACTTGAGCTTGATGAAAAACTGGACTACCAAATTAGGACAGATGGAGTAACATAGATTAAAATTTGAATGACGTNCGGTAACTTGCATTGCGCCCTTGCTCTTTGCTGTTTGTTTTTGTCTTCTTTCTTCACCTTCCTTTTCTCTTAAAGGGAGTGACCAAGTTGTGTGTCAGTCATGAAGAATTGGTTCACAGCAGTTAGATTTGCTTGGAGTTGCTTCGTTCTTTGTGAATGTGACATATGAAATGAGAGTGCTTACTGACCCCCCCTCCCCCGGGGGGGGGGAGGCTAAACTCGTAATAGATTTTTTTTTAAAAACTAAATAAAACAAGAGTATTTATCAGAAAATAAAGAAAATTAGAGGGTAGATTTGACGATTCCTGGTGGAATAGTCGAGGTATGCCCAAAACTGGTGTGGACACCACATTAAAAAAAAGGATTTTCTACTATGTATTTTCAGCACAGAGTTTCATGTATTGTTGTTAAATGGATGTCAAATTTTTGTGTCTGTGGGGTGGGGGGTGGGGGGAGTAATGCTGATTGTAATGTTTTTAATTTCTTGTACAGTGAGAATGGACCCAGTAAACTTGAACTATGTTGCTGACATGGTGAAAAAGCAGCGAGCTGCTCCCATAAGTGAGTTTGAGATCACCCATGATAGTTCTTCCAAAACTTGGTATGTTCAAGGATCAGGCCTGCAACGTTTCGTCCAAATGACAAACTGGAGGTATGGTTCTTGTTGTTCCCTGATCCTGTCTTCTTTTACCTTCTCGTCATCGCCTTCTATCATGCGCCTTTCCCCTATTTTCTTTTGGATTAGCATCCCTATGGAAGCATGTTTCTGTTGTAGCATATTGGCCCTGAAGTCAATTAATTGGATTTTCTGTTGTAGCACATTATCAACTTGAATTGAACTTTTTCTAGTGGTCTCAGAGATTTTAAGTGTACAGAGATTTTAAATTGGCGGACTATAGAGATTCCTATAGCCCGCTTGCTTCAAGGAGCCTGTTTTAAATCAAGTTTTGTTGGATGTATTTGATCCTTATCAAAATTACATTGAGTTCCATTAAAAAGGAATCTTGTTCTTTGCGACAGATATATGGACTCAGATAGAAGATTTCAACATGTTCTGGAGGCATGTGGTGTGAATAAATCTCTGCTCAAGCTTGGCGTGAAAGAGGGTGACACCGTCATCGTTGGAGATGTATGTCTATGCTACTTTGCTTCCTTATTTCCAGCTAATCTTAGCCACTGGACTGCATAATTGCTTCTTTTCCCGTAATTTGCATTGTACTTATTTGCTAATAGCTTATTATTCTTTAACTTAAGTTCAACTATTCAAGGAATACAGGTACTACACATAGCTTTGTTTAGCATGTCATGATGAAAAACTCTTTGACATTTTCTGTAATATCCTCCCCTTGCTGAGTGAAGAAGAACTCCTCCTTAACCTATAATATGTATACAAGTGTCAGGGATTAATTTGACTGAGTTTTGCTTCATTCGTTGCCAGATGGAGTTAGTATGGCATGATTCTGATAATTCAGGCCCTACAAGTAGGAAGAAGTGGGCTGCCGGACCAAGTCAATAATCTCATTGTTGCTCTTTACTTGAGCCTTTCGAATATGCTGCTAATCGATAAATCGTACATAAGACTAAACATCCTTGATGTGGATTTCCAAGAACTTAAACAAGTTCTGCTGAAAATCATCATGTATTATACATCGGCACCGTGCACAAGACATGTAAGTACCATAATTTTGTTCAAGACGTTGCTTAAAATTGTTACCTTTGTTTGCTAACGTGAACTATGCAGTTGGGTTCATCATAAAACTTATACTTGCTTTCCGTGTAGGTTCATACTATCAAGTTGTGGATAATGTAATTGTGCTTCCAATTAGCAGAGCGTTTTCAATCAAAATACCTTATAGAGCTGCAAGAGGTAAGGGGCGGAAAATATGGTTTCACCCATCATCTTGGTCTGCCAGAATAATGCAGCCTCCTCTTTCTGGTGCAATGTACACTATCCTCATTAGTTAATTTATGATAGTGACGGTAGAGTTATGTGAAATCTTATATTTTTGTCTATTTAGAAACATGGTCCTGGTTAGTAAGGATTCATATAGTTGACCCTAACTTGTTTAGGGCTGAGCCATAGCTATTGTTGTTGTTACATCTTAAAGTTTCAAATGGCTATATGACTGAGGCATAGTTGTTGTTGTTGCTGTTGTATCTTGAAGTTTCAAATGACCATATAAATAAGTTGAAGAAATGCAATAGCACTTTCTCTTCTAATTTTGGCTCTTTCATGATTGCTGAAGGATTATGGATCGTATAAACAATCTTACATTATTATTCACCGCATAACAATCTTCATATTATAGTCTTGCATAGCTAGTCTGTGATCTAAACAATCCTTTTTTCTGGGTTCTACCCCGTTTTTGTGCTTTTTCACTATGTTCCCTGAGTTTTATAATTTGATGACTTTGGTTTACTAGACATCTGCTTTGGATCTCAATGGTGTAGAAATTGGAAAATACAAGTTGCTCTCTGTAGTCTGATATTTGACGAAATCTCAGAAGTTAGGCTGGTCTTTGGATCTAAGTTCATAGGAACCAATTTTGTTGTTTTCTTGATAAAATTGATCCACACAACTCTAAACCATGCCCATTTCCACTATAGCCCATCTCCACTTCATTAATATATACTACTCCTAGGCTTTATTCAACTGCATTTGCTTTTGAAGTTACTTCTCTATCTATATCTATTTTATTGAATACTGAAGAAATTCTTTTAATTTCCGCTGAGCTAAACCAATATGTTTGATATTTGTAGTAAACCAATGTCAGCATTTAATAGCTTATTTCAATTTCCATTTTGAAAAAGAAGAAAAAAGAATGAAGATTTTGTATTGGATTAGAGATCAACTTTCTCTTCACAACCATGGATGTAGTTGCAAGTTCACTCACTAGAATAGGCAAGAATTCGATCTCCCTCCTAACTTTGCTTCCCC